CATATTTAAGAACCTTCTAGGTTTAGTACTTTTTTCAATGGTGTGTTCTTGAGATTAAAACCTATCTTTAGATAACAGTATGGAGTTAGGCCTTGACAAATAACTAATTTCTGGCAATCTTCTATATTAGGTTTTCTCTTTTGAAGTCCTTACGTGACAAAAATGTTTTAAATTCTTCTTTCTTGAGTAGGATGCTAAAATGCAGATAGCTTATGATTGTATGCTAAATGGAACTTACTGATGTTTTCTTGGTTTTTTGTTTTGTTGCCTACTTTCTGCTCTGAAACATGCAAATGAAAAAGCTTAAAAGCTTGTGGTATCAGGCTAATGCTGGATTATTATATATTACTAACTTGATGATCATTGCTGGATGACTTGCTGGCCAGTCTACCAATTCAAGAATGCTAGTGTAAAATAACAGCAAATGGTAGGAAATAAGGTTTAAAATTATTACCAGCAAAACAATAGTTGTAAAAATAAAATCTATATGCATTAGAATCTTAAGAACATTTTGTTATGTTCCTGTGACTGGTAGTTGGATAACAAGGCAGACTTTAAAAGGAAGGGGCAGTGTCCTTAAGTTAAGCTTCTTAGTTTGCAGTAACTGGTAATCTAGCAAGGATATAAACCAAACTGGCAAGGAACTGAAGACTACAAAATAACAAAAAGCTGATGAGAAAGGTACGAAGTTATTCTGAAATAGTAAGCAGGGATGAGGGAGGAAAGAGGGATATAGGGAACACTCTGCCAAGAGGATACAATATTCTGCCAACAATATACCAATTACAGAATATATATTTTTCTTTTCTTCCCCCTGCCCCTTAACTGTGTGTGCGTGTGCCTGAGCCAATTGTTTTAACTGGCTTGCATCCTTTCAGTGATTATTACATGTATTTATTATTTTTCCATATCAATTATAGGGTCGCTGTGTTTGGCTTAATCCTTTTCAAAAATCAGAGGAGGAAGAAGAAGAAGATGAAGAGGAGGAGAAAGCAGAGGAGCCAAATGAACTACAGCAAGAAATAGGACCTCCTCTTCTCACTCCACTCTCTGAAGATGAAGGTATTCTTCATGGAATATGAAGTTTTTGACAGAGAGCCACTAGGAATGTTGGCATTTAGGTAGTAAATATTTGAAGTTATAGGTCTCTGATGCTTCATGGAGCAATATAGTTTGCCCCTGTAGGGTAAGTACATTCTTTTACAAAATTGATCAAAAGCAAAATAGTTAACAGTATTGACATTAAAACTGAAATAATTGAGTTTACTAGTTAACAATCTTGTTGAGAATGAAGCGAAAAAATACCTCAGACTTGTCAGGCTACTGCAAGTTCAAGACAGCTCACTACATGAAATACATTCAGCTATTTTTCCATCATCTTTTTAGACAAAAAAAAGTGTGTGTGCATGTGTAAATAAATAGATATGTATACGTATAAACATGCATAGATATACAAATAAGAATTTAGATCCTGTAGCATATTACTGCAGCAAATCATGGGAATATGGGAACCTGAATATTAGATTACATCAATAGTAAATTATTTTTCCTACTCTCCATTCTTTGATCAAGGTGAAATATAACTATATAATTTATCCATAAGTGATAAACAGTCCTTGACAAAAGAAACAGCGGTGAGTACTACTGAGTTTCAGGAGCATGATCTTTTCTGTACATGGCTCTATTAGCATTCCCGTGCTACCTACCCATACATCTAAACCACCTGTTTGAACACAGCGCCTACATTTACTGTTTCTGACTTCTGGCTCTTCTAACACGCAACTTACTATAACCATTGCTTGAATTCTGTGAAAGTCTTGTAGCTCAGTCTTAAATATTTTGTAGAGGCTCGTAAGTCAATTTATTCACAGACTGTGTGTGTTTGGCTGCCTCCAGGAATTCAGAACATCCCTGCTTGGACAGCTGAGGCTTCTACAAGCCTGATCCCGCAATACGCTGTTGCAATCCTCCAGTCTAACCGATGGCCCGGAGCATATGCCTTCGCGTCTGGCAAGTGAGTAGCTAGTGGACCTGGTTACAACACAGACTGTATATGTAAACACAGATACCTGTCTAATGAAGTCAGAGTTGCTTTATTATTAATTCATTGACTGATTCTAACTGTTCCAGAGACTGATGGAAAAGGGCACTTAAATGTGCACAGCAACAGTAAGTATTTATTTAAGACAGCAAATGAATAATCATTGGAAAGGCTAGTATAGTTAATGGATGTAAACGTCCAGTTAGTATTTGGACACGGTCCTCTATTTAAAACCTATATTCTTGAGAAGTCTGTGGTACTTTTTACAAAAATAGCTACATTCTGTGGTTCTAATGTCCATTCGTTTCCACTGCACACGGTCTTTTAAATACTTCTGTGGTATCTGCACCACAGTGACTTTTTGCACAGCTGAGTAAGGAAGCCTGGCAGTATCTCCACTGATGTTTTGTTTGGGGGAGAATGTGTGATCTTTCGCTTTCCTTTCTTAGGAAATTTGATAACATCTACTTTGGCTGGGGTCACAAATACAGTCTAGAGAACCACACTCCCGCACTCCCTCCGCCAGTGCAAGCGGAATATCCCAGCGGGCCAGAAATCGCTGAGACAAGAGACCCCACTCTGGAAGAGGAACTGGCTTTCAAGGCTGCGAGGGAAGAAGCCCTAGCTGCAGCTGAGGAAGAGGAAGATGAGGAAGACGTTGATGAGGATGATGAAGAGGAGGATGATGATTAAAATACGGGGGGAAACATTTTTATGTTAGAAGTTTAAACATGAATAGTATTTTCATAAATTAGTCATTAATTAGTTGACGTTAAAAGAAATGCAATTGGAGCATGCCTTCTTTTTTGATTTCTGTAGGCTCTTCTTTGCAGCTACCTTCCCCTCCGCTGGCGTGAAGGCTGCACTGCCTTCCCTGGGAGACAGCACAATAAAGTTGCCTTTTTTTAGAGGAGCGGGCGAACACAGTCTGCTTCTGTTTCCTAAAATAACACTGCTTTGAACTAACTTAACTACCGTCCACTGAACGTTCACGTTGTTTTTCTAACCTGCACTTCCAACACCTAGATAAAGTTTTCTTAAACCAAAAAAATAAACATAATTACATAGCAATGTCACATTTACGTGTGGAAGCATACTGCTTAAATTGAGTAGATGGCCTATGAAGTCACTGGCCGAGTGCACCGCAACGATGCCGCCGAGGGGAGCGCTCCCGCGGCGGAGCGCTGCCTCCCGCACGGCACCACCCTTACGGCGCCGCAGCCCTGGCCGGCACCATCGCAGGACTCTCGACAGACAGGGGTGTGTCGCGGGACGCCTCATGGGCTGTTCAGCCATCTATCCCTCACTACGGTTCCCCTTCCCCCCCCGTCAGATGTTGGCGAGTGGTATGCTCCGCCGTGGCATCTGCC